GGGGGAGGGAGAGGGGCACTTGGGGGGCCATGAATGGAAACAGAACGTCTTGGAACTGAAGTCACAATGGCTGGAGGACCAGGAAGCCAGCAGGCCGGGCCCCTGGGGACCCGGGGACAGCCGGGCCTCTTTCCTCTGTGGGACTGTTTGCTCCCACAGCACCTGCTTATCCTCTGGGGGCTTCTGAAGGAACCTGGCTGGCTCCCTGTCAGCTGGAGCTGAGGGTGAAGACTGTGGGATAGAGGCAGACTTTCATGCAAGAGGCCAGGGGTCATGAACATCACTCTCAGCTGAAGACTCCGCTGCCTTTTCTCGCTCTTTCCTGCCAGCATGTGCGTTCCCTAAGGCATCACCAATCTCTGACTCAGTGTTAGGCACCTGGGAAATTAACTATGCACTTATTATGCCCCCATTATGTATATGCCTGCCTTGGGCTAGTCACAAAGCACGACATTAGGTATCTGCCAACAAGTGTCACTTACTCTGTACTCAGTCCTGTCCTAGGGAGTACAAGGGTGTGGAGAGGTGTGAGAGCAACCCTTTCCCCAAGGACTGGACGGTGCTGGTGGAGACAAAGATACACTGCTGTGAGGCTAGCACAACCGGGGGCGCTCAGCACGGGCGCCTTCAAATGGCCTTAGGTTTTCGGTCTCAGTTACTTGCTTCCCAAGACCCTTCAGAGTCTGACCCCAAAGAAGAGGGCAGGTCACCACAATCAGAGCCACTTTGCTGAGCTGAAGCCCGAGCAGCCCAGGGAGCACAACAAGATCCTTTAATGCTAAAAATAGCCCCTGTAAACAGGCTTTGATGACTCCCCACAGCCAGGATGTGCGCGGGCTGAGGTTTCGGAGCACTTTTTCCGGAGCACCACTCATTTCCTTCAGGCAGCACTGCCCGTGTGGGGCGGGCCCTCGGGCAGCAGGAGCTGGGCGTCTGGGGTGAGTGGGTGGCAGGGTAGCAAGGCTGTCCCAAGGCGCTGCTGCTGGTCAGGGTGCACGTTTACGCCACCAGGGCCATCCTCCCTCTCTCTTTCCTACTCTGAGAGGTCCCCGCACTGCTTTGACTCTTCGTATTAAAGCCATCCTGCTGAGATCTTCCTGGTTCAGATGTGCTGGGCAGACAGTCCCTACTTAGTTCTCATTCCTTTTAGACCGATTCCTCTCCTCCAGCTCTCCCGGGGCCACAGACGCCCACCCCCAATTCCTGGGGGTACGGACTGCAAGAGCAGTCTTCGTTGCCAGAAGGAAATTATTTTGGGATCCCTTACTGGATCATTAGCTACACCTGTAAGCGCCACCATTCCCAGGGAGCAGGCTTGGGCTACACTCACATTTTGGCAGAAGGTATTGTTTTCACCTATTATTTCTGGCCTCCCCAGTGGCCTTGGAAGTTCACCCTTAGAGAGTCATTCCGTTGTTCTTTACATAACTTAGTAGCCTATATTTCCTCTCTGAATTAACCTTCATAAGCCGTAGCACGGAACTGGGGTTAGCGAATACCTACTGACTGACCAGATCCTTCTTTGGTTTAAGTCTTAAGGAAATGATCTACACAAGGTCAGTATCTTTAGAAGAGATTATCCATTAGCTACTCCTAGACATTTACATCCTAGCCTGAATCAGCTTATTGGCTCCTCTCCAAACAGGATAGAAAAAGGCCTTGGTTTGGAGGGTGAATGAGGTGGGGAGGGGGGGGGGAAAAAAAGGGGGGGGGGTGAAAACCTAGGAAAACAAGCCTGAAAGTGATCCTAAGAAGGCACCAGAAGCCACGTCTGCCTCCACTACTTCCCCCCGTGGCTCCACTCTTCCTGCACGAACAGGTCACGGTAAAAACTTCAAAATGTCTTGTCCCACATGTGACTATCTTTCCCTGAATAGTCTAAAGATCAGGAAATCAGAATCTCTTATTAAGACTGATGTCTCCACTAAGCAAATGCCAATGAATCAATAATCAACCCGACAATTCTCTTTAGAAACCTTGCTTGACATGAACCCCCAGCTCTCGTGGAAAAGGAATTTGATTTCACCACATACGCTTGTGGGGAAGTCAAAAAATCCGTTTTAGGGCGAAAAGCCAATTTTGCATATTTACAGTTGTTCAGTGTCCTGCAAATGCAGGTGACCCTCATCTGGTCACGGTTTGCAGAGCTCATCTTGAAAGAGGATTTAAGACAATCAAGTGGTATTTCCACCGATGTTCCCGTCAGAGTGTGTTCTGTTCTTGGCCCAGCGTGGAAGCTAATATCATAAAGCTATTGTTTCAGTTTGCTTCCGGTGATACAAATCTCAATCGGCAGCCCAGACTCCTAGCCTGAATTTCTTAGCCTTGAGGTTTCCTCTCCAACATTCCCACACAGAACAGCCTACTGTGAGAATCAAAGGGAAACATGTTACTAAGTAAAGAAGAAACTTTTCTAAAGCAAAACCTAGTCTTTTTTAGCCTTTTGAACTCTGAGGTATGCAACCAGCTATTTCCTATGACAAAACGAACCAACATCAGCGCTCACCTTTGTTAGAAATGTTTCAATAATGAGTCTATTTTGACCTGGAAAAGCGTGGCAACTCTGCATTTTGACAGAATTTGCTGAAAGGTAGGCAAGAGGATAGTATAGTTATTAT